AATCATTTAGTTTTTCAAATAATCTCAGCTAAGGTTTTGGTTGGAACTCAAATGAACAGAGAGCCAAAACATTTTTGTAGGCCTTTAAGATGGCAAGAAGTCAGAATTACATGGAATTGGTAGTATTGATGGAGAAAGAAAAAGGACTTACCTCAAAAGGAAGAGGAAATAGTTTATTCCAGAGTTAAACATGATTGACCATGTCCCGGGAAGACAGATTTAAGACACTGCAAACACCATGTTACAACACGGTAACACTTGGATGAAGTTTTTATAGTAAAAGAATCAACAAAGTCATGAATCCAGACACCTTCTAAATATGTGGTTGTGGACTAGAATGTGCAGGTTTCAGTAAATGCCAGAAATCTATTAGTGATGATACTCTTAGCTGTTTGGGGGAGAATATGACTGTTTGCTGAGGACACACTTGAATGGTTTTGACAGTCATAAGGACTCAAGGGAGGGCCTAGTATTCACAAGGCCCTAGGTTCTATCCCCAACACTGAATAAACCTAATGCGGGTGTCACATGCTTGTATATCCAACATTGATGAGGTAGGGGCAGGAGGGGAAGGAATTTAAGGTTGAGCTTGAAGAAATGTCCCTGTCCATGAATCGTTTGTCATGTAAGCATGAGGACCTAGGTTTGGTTCTCCAGTGCCCAAGTCATGTAGACGTGTAACTACTCTCACACACATGCACAAATGCACCACAGGCAATCATGCACTTGAACAGGGAAGAAAAGAGAAGTTTAAGGGGGTAGAGAGATGGCTCAGTGGTTAAGGGCATTTGTTACTCTTACAGGGCACCTGAGTTCAATTCCCAACACCCACTTGAGTAGCTTACAACTACCTGTAGCTCCAGCTCCAGGAGATTTCATGCCCTCTTCTGGCCTCTGTGGGCACTGTACACCCCTACGCACAACCCTACACACACACACACACACACACACACACACACAGAGTTTAAAAATAAAACTTGAATTAAAAAAATATAAGGTAATCACCTACACAGCATCTTCCCAATCAGCTTGGGATGCATAAAACCCTGTTATTCATAAATAAAAAAACAAATAAACAAATGATAAAATATTAATGAAAATGGTATGCCTGGTTCATTGGCAACTGTAGGTAACCCCCTGATGCTAAGATTCTACATATGTGCCTTCTACAGACTCTGAGGCTGACTCCAGTGCGCCTTTCATATACAGGAGGTTCCAGCATCTCTTGTTTCCCGTGTCTATCAGTGTGTGTGTGTGTGTGTGTGTGTGTGTGTGTGCCCATGTGTGTGGAAGCTGGGTGATAAGGCAGGGTGCTTAAATGCTTTGTTGCATTATGTTAATTCCTCAGCAGTGCAATCAAATTCATGTCGTAATTAAAGCTGTCAGTTGGAAGGCAAGCCAATCGCTGCGAAAGCACAGCATAACAAATGAACTGAAATGATTCCGCGTGTAGCTATACAATGCTTCACCAGGCATGAAATTAAATAAGTAATTTGATGTTGACATCAGAAATTGAAATGATACCCACTGTTCCCTCATTCAGTCAGACCTGCATAAACAATGGCCAGAGCAAACATGCACAACAAAGCCCTCCTCTCTACCCGCTCCCCAAGTAATGCACAATATATATGCAAAATGAGCATATCAGAGCTTGCTTAGACTTCAAGGATGTAATTTGCTTTGGTATACAACACGATGATGTGCGTGTGCGGGCAGGAAGCTCGGTTTGGAGTGATCCTTCTCCTTCTGGGATAAAACATTTTGAGGAAGCGGGATGAATGAGATCAGCAAATCCCCTTGCATCTCTGTTATTCATCCTAAAATGAGTTTGTTTCCTAGAGGCAGGACTCCAGGATTGTAGAAACCTAACTTGGCTTCTGCATTTACCTGTTGTAACAAGAGCTAGGGTTACAGAAAATAGTTGACATTGTCACATGATCAGCCACTGGTAAATGCAGTCACCATGACTACAGTGGGTGGATTGAGCTAATTCTCTCTCTCTCTCTCTCTCTCTCTCTCTCTCTCTCTCCTCCTCCCTCTTTCATTCTGTCCTGTCTCTCTCCTTTCTTTCTCTTTCATCCTTCCCTCCCTTCCTCCTCCCTCTCCTGCTTATAGAATCAAGAACATAAAAATGTTTTGTTTATTGATTTTTCCCTTTATTTACATCTACATGCATATGTGTGCAACGGGTACACAGGTGTCCAGGAAGTCAGAAGAGGGATTTGTAGCCACTGGCGCTGGAGTTCCAGGTGGTTTATGAGTCACCTGATGTGGGAGCTGGGAACTGAACTCAGGTCTTCTGGGAGACCTTAACCACAGAGATCTTGTTTGCCTTGCAGCAAGGTTTGTGGGTCACAGACTTAACATAGTATACACGGTGCCTCATTCTTCTGAGCTTGCAGGAGGCCCCAAGATGAGGAAACTTTGCTTTACAAATGCTGTGACATATGCTGTCTTTGTTGGGGGAGGACACAGCCAGGAAGTCGTGTCCCCCTCTCTTATGATTTGACTTTGAACTGTTCCCCCATAGGCTCATGTGTTTGAATGCTTAGTCTACAGCTGGTGGCACTGCTTTAGGAGACTGGATCCTTTAGGAGGTAGAGCCTTTCTCAAGAGGAGGAGTGTTACTAAGGGTGGCCCTTGGTATTGTATAGGTCCCTGTACTTGCTGTCTGCTCTCTGCTTCATGATTATTGGTGCAATGTGATGAGCAACTTCTTTTTTGGGGTGGGGGGAGGCTTGGTTTTTTGAGATAGCGTTTCTCTGTGTAACATCTCTAGGTGTCATGGACTCTAGCTGTCCTGGACTTGCTCTGAGACCAGGCTGGCCTTGAACTCACAGGAGATCTTCCTTCCTCAGACTCTTGAGTGCTGGGATTAAAGGCATGCGCCACCACCTCCCAGCCCATGAGAAGCAACTTCTGACACCTGCTGTCATGATAAACATTACCCTCAAACTGTGATCTAAATTAAACCCTCCCTTCTTTAAGTTGATTTTTCTCAGGTAATTTGTCACAGCAATAAGAAGAGTAACTCAGCTGGGTGGTGGTGTCTAATCCCAGCATGGGCAGGTGGTTATCTGTGAGTCAGAGTCCAGCCTGGTCTACAGAGAGTTCCAGGACAGCCTTTGCTACACAAAGAAACCCTGTTTTGAAAAACAATAGATGGATGAACAAACACATTAATAAAGTAACTCATGCCGCTTCTTAGTTCATTATTAACAGAAATCGTATCTGCTGTTAGAATTGTCAATGTTGCCTTAGCCTCTTCTACCTCAAGCAATTCATCCGTTTGCTTATACATCTTTTCAACTGGTATTTATGCGTTGCATCTCTGTGCAAGACATGCTATGTTGGCACATGTCTCCTCATGCCTGTTGTTTAAAGAGTAGGTGATTGGATGTGTGAGTGGAAGTTAATGTTAATTCTAAAGTTAATGATTTTTGAACCAGGTGGGAGATGAGGCCTCTCCGTGGAGGCGATGGCACCCCTAGGGCAAAGCTGCGGAGCTATAATGGACAGGCTGACTTGGCATCAGGTTATTCTCATTTCAGGCTTATTTGGTGCCTCCCTTGGTCACAAAGAGGATGACAAAAATTAAATAATTTGTTAAGACAGGTTCTTCAGGAGAGCATACACACACACACACACACACACACACACACACACACACACACACACACACAAAGATCCAGGCTTGGGGCTATAGCTTCATTGTAGAGTACTTACCTGGCATGCATGAGACCCTGGGTTCAATCTCCAGCTCTGTTTAAACCGGGTTTGGTATTACATCTCTGTTGTCCCAGCACTCAGGAGATGGAAGCAGGAGGACCAAGGCTGTTCTCAAGTACACAGACTACACAGAGACCTTGTCTAAAGCCTGGGTAGAGGGCTGGCAAACAGTTGTTTGAATGACTGCCTAGCATATAGGAAGTTCCTCATTTGATCACTAACATTACATATCTGTAAGTTCATCCCTCAGGAGTCGAGGGCAAGCCTAGACTACTTGAGAACCTGTCTCAAAAAAAGAGTGGGGCAAGGTGGGGTCTAGAGAAATGACTAATTGGTTAAAAACGTTCACTCCCCTTGCAGAGGACCCAAGTTTGGTTTCCAGCATTCATGTCGGGAAACTCACAACGGCCTATAACTCCAGGTCCAGAGGATGCGATATCTTTTGGTCTCTTTCTGGTACCTGCACACACATAGTGCACATAAACTCATAAAGACATGCATATATACTTATGGACAATACTAAGGTATACAAACAACATCCATCTTCATAGCTTGGCTTCTTTTCCCAAGTACACGATACCCTGATTTCAGCTCAGATTTACTGATTTTTAGTGGTTCATTGTGTCAGAGCTGTGGCAGTCTGAATTGATATTATTGAGACAAAAACTGCTTCCCTCTGCCCATGGATTCTTTGCATTTTAGTCAACTAATTATGTTTACAAAATGTCTAATTTTTGCACAGTGCCAAGTGTGTACTAGCCAAAGCCTTCAGGGAATAAACTGGCAAGTAGGTCATATACCAAAAAGTCATCCAGATCCATTGGGCTTTTTTATTTTCAAGTCAGTCTGGGCTTTTTCCTCTTGCCTGCCTCTCTGCGGCCACAAAACCAAATAGCTTGAGACCTAGGCCTTGAATGTCAGGAAGTCAGGGAGGCAGGCTGCCACGTGCCTGTTTAGTCTCAGTGCAGGGCGAAATGCCATCATTAATTCATTACCCAGCTGCCTGTCAAATAAATTGGCAATTATGTCCACCGCAGAAGCTCAGAATCCAGTAAATAGCACGTTAGCATCTCTGAGTCGTTGAGAGATATAAAGGGAGAAAATTAAGCAACACGTTCTGTGTATCAGTAGCAGATGACAAGGGGCCTCACGCTCGGGCATGTGATGTCTGGATGAAAAGCTCACAAAGGGCTGGTAATGAGCTGTGTGGATGGGAACGTGTTAAAAATTGCTACTGACTTTGCCACTCTGTCCCTGTGCTTTCTCTGCAGAGTTCGGCCCCTTCCAGTTTGGGAACAGGCTACTTCGTAAGTCCATCTCCACCTCCACCCCCGGGCCTCGTGTCTCCATCCGTCCACCGCTGTAGCAAACCCTCGTTACAGTGTGAACAAATAACATCTAAGGGATCCCTCTCGCTCCTCGTGAGCACACAGATTTCTGCCCTTTCATTGAAAATTATTCTATTTCTAAAGGGTTTAACCTGTTGGGCCCTAAGGATCAGGAGGCACCTGCCTAGGTGTGGCTCCTAGAATGTTTAGGAAATTTGGGGAAACATGATTGCTCTTGCCAGCCCAATTCCGTGTTTGCTGGAAGTCAGATTACCTATGGAGGTGCCTTCTTCGAGGCGCTCCGAAGAGCTTCAACCTATAAAGTGACTTCATTCACTATTTTTGTTCCTCCATTTTGAGGGGAAGTGGCATTCCTTTAGTTTCCTTCACACTCTAGTTGGTATCCCCTACGCTTCTACGTCACTCACCACACTCCGTGTATTTTAGTGCTCCACACTGTATGTCAAATACAGGAGCATTGTCTCCTTTCTGGTCCTTACAGTGTTCCCTTAGGGGAGGGGAGGGAATGGAGGAAACATATTTCTGGGATATTGCACTATCTTTCATTCAAAGACAGAGAAATGGTTGCTTTATTAAATTTTTATAACAAAATTATCCTTTGTGGATTCAGTATTCCTTTTCGAGATATAAATGAGGAAGAATTACAAACCAAAATTGTTTACACTAGATTAACAGTTTGTTACAGTATTTACAGGAACTTGATTTTGTTCTGAAGGAACACTTGATAGTATATGCCCAAAACTGAACACTACTGCAAACATGGTCAATAATTACCAATTCAGTGCATCTGCTTTTAGCTTCGTCCGTCTAAGATGCTGAACTTTCTTCTGCTGACTCATTTCTCTTACTGTATTTGTTAGATCATAGAAATAAGCATTGTTTCCATGAATGTTGAGTATTTACTAAGGTTGGCCAACCCCCCACCATCCCCTTGTTCTTAATCTATCATCCAAGGAGAATGGTAAGGATGCCTCTGGAGCAACATCATACAGTTAGCACAGTTAGCATACAGGGCCTGAATATTCATGCTTGCAGAAGGAGCAGGATGCACCCAGTGTCTTGCTTCAGCAGTCGAAAGAACAGACGTGGTCCCATCTGCCATCTCTTCACACCAGGCTGGGTGTGGGTTGAGATGCTGGAAGTAAAATCTGGAGGCTGTTGTGCCTGTTCTCTGTGCACAGGCTCTATCCTCACCCCAGCTCCTTTTCAGAAAGAAAGCCAAAGCCACCACCTTCACCTTGTTCAGTTACGTCCCGAAGAGTTTAATGACATTTTTTAAAGCTTCAGTATAATTGCCACGAAAGAGGAATGTTATCTCCAGAGTGGACATTTTGTTCTATTTTTTACTTCCTTAGTTCTAAGAATGTTTATCTTTATTTTCTAATGATAATTCAATAACTGGCGAATCCTTAATTAGGATTTGGAGGTGATTTTTTTTTTTATGCTCAAACAACTTTAGTCAACTTTAAAACTTCTTTATCTTGCTTTGGTAAAATCGATTTACTCTGCTTATCTCAAGAACTGTCATGTTATTAGTGTACATGGAGAAGATGAGTACCAGATGTCTGTTCCGCTCTCAGCTATGATAAAAATGCCCCTCGCAGAATGTGTTTCCAATACTGCATTGTTCTGTTATCACCCTGTGAAATCCTTGGTGGAGTTGCCAAGCCCTCATCAAAACCCAGCTCTGTTTCAAGTGTCATTCCAGCAGTATCACGTGTAATACTCAATTTCAGGCACTAACTTCCATGTTTGTGAGTTTCACGCTTTTAAATAGAAATAATGTATTTACAACTTCTGTTATTGCCTACTCCCCAAACATACTGTTTACATTGTGCTCTGTGGTGTGGATGTCAGTATAGCTCTCAGTAAGATGGTAAAGAAGTCACAAGCTCAGTTATTGGGTTGAGTCCCATACTCATTTTTTCCCTCCTTCGTTAATCTCTTTGGACAACTCTTTGGTATGTGGCTGGAGGGAAATCACTACAGATGAGCTAATTTTCATCATTTAAACAATAAACTTTTGGATATGGAAAGGCTAAAATCCCTCATCTTTGGGGCTTACCAACCCAGAACTTTTTAAACACTTTCCCATGCCTCAGTATTCCTCCTTGCTCCAGAACCTTCTGTCAGCTCCCGTGTCCTGTAGTAGAGATTTTAGTAAACTAATGTGAAAAGCCATTTGTTTTGTTGTTTCATGAACGGTTGCCGTAACCCATGCATCATCGAGGGTGTATTTGTGGTTGTGGGGTGTGTGTCTGAACCCGTGCCTAATCACTCTTGGCCCAGCCCACCTGATTGTACCTGTCTCCAGTTCTTTGTATCCATCCTGTTTTGCTGAAAGGTTTTAAAGAAGTCTTTGTTTTTGATCTGGTTTTATTTGTTTATGTCTCCCTGGTTTTGTGTTCCAAAGATGTCTGCTTAGGTCTGTCAGTTTTCCAATCTATGCAAAAGCAGAAGATTTGAGAGATGGGAACAGCAGTGAAGAGCACTATTTACATAAGCATATTGCAAAGAATTCTTAAAGCAGACAAAATAGAGACGGGTTGGAACAAACTTTGCACGTTTTGCGGAGGCTTTGAATACTGTGAGTGTTACACACATGCACAGACACACACACACATACACACTCATTGCATACGCATCCCCTACTCAGCTCATATTCTAAATATAAATGAAATTATAGTCGACTTGGAATCAGTTTGCTGTTTTTTTTCTTTTTCTTTTTTGGCAAGCAATCTGAAACTTGTTGGAGTGTGTGTAGGGTTTTCTTTTTGTTTTTTAAACGTCAGCTCAGTGAATACATTTTCTGTTTGATTTAAACATTTCTGGATATCTTTCCTTCTGAAACATATACTTGAAATTTCACTCTGAATAGTGTATAGTGAAGTACGGAGTGACAGAGCGATTCATGCAACTAGCTGTGTGACCTTGGGCAGGGTGTTTGATATCTTTGTTTCTGCTTCACCACCCACCTAATAGAGTTGTGAATTTTAGGCCAAATGACACAATTAATGTGTGCAGAACACAACTCACAAACAGCAAGTAGTAAACTGTACCTTTAAGGGTTTTTTCCTAAAGATTTTTAAATATTGTTTTTAATTTCGTGTAGATAAGTGTGTACACAGCAGTGCTGGTGCCTATGTAGTCTAGAAGAGGGCATCAGACCTCCTGGAGTTCCAGTTACAGGTGTTGCGAACTCCTGGTGTAGGTGCTAAGAACTGAGCTTACATCCTCTGTACAGGAAGTTTGCATTCTTTTAACCTCTGAGGTCTGGCTCCAGCCTTTAAGTGCTTCTATTCTTGAAGACAGCAAGTGAGTAGATAAAGTTTGTGCCAAAGTATACAGTATTGTGATGACAGAAGGCAGCACTGAAAAAATTAATGTCATAAAAGTAGATTTTTCCATTTGTACCCTGATCATTTCCTTCCAGGAGCTTTCACAGGGGCCTGGGATTCTGTGTTTGACTGTGTGTCATTCATGTGGACATCAGACACAGATGCATTTAGTCTGACCCCCTGGTGATGATGGTGATGTTGGAATGACCTCTTCTCTGGGCATGACAGTTGTTCCCTTGAATCTTGTTAATGTTTCTTATCTGTTTTCCCATGGGCGAATCTTTAAAACACATCAAGAACATTTACTATGGCTGAGGTTTGGCCAGTTAAGGAATGTCTTCTCAGTAATTCAAGTTTTAGGAGATTGGGTGTAGGTTGTTGAGTGGTACTCTGTGACACCAAAATAAAGTGTTCTTAGGAGGTGTGGTCACTATCAGGAGACAGTGACCACAGGCAAGAGACAACACTTCATCAGATTGGTCTCTCACTGAACCTGGAAGTCATGTTTCACCTGGCTGACTGGCTGTCTCTGCCTTCCCAGCACTAGGATTAAAGGCATGCCTGCTAAGCTTGGTTTTTTATCTGGACGGTTGTTGTGAATTCAGGACCTCCTGCTTTTGTAAATAACACTTCATCTCTCGATTCATCTTTCCAGTCCCTGAACTGGCTGGCGTTAAGTGCGGAGCCCATGTACCTGTGGTCAGGTGACTAACTTCCTAGCTCTAGTGAAAGGGACATAAAACCCTCTTAGACCAGGTGAAACATCCTGTGTGCTCCTCTGGATAATCCCCAGCCTTCTTACAGTCTTGAGTGTCTGAGGACACTGACCTCCTAGCTGGGATCTGGCTTCCCTAACTCCAGTTGCTTCCCTTAAAGTTCCAGCTTGCTAATTGTCACACTTTAGGTTTTCTAGGAAAACAGTGTGCTGATATCCTATGACTTACACTACAGGCAAGGGAGACTGTACAGCGTTACACTCTCTAAGGTGAACTTTGTGTAATTACTATTCTGTACATTACTTACTTTGCCTTTCAGAAACAGATTCCTATTGGTGGGGCTTTTGTGAAATTATTTATTTCTTAATTCATTGTTAGGAATTACTCATTATTATTAATGGATATTTCATTTTTTCATGCTAAATTTTGCTCTTGTAGAGATGTGTGTCCACCGAGAAACTACATGTGTTGGCTTCTCCTATTCTATAGCCAGATGGTACAGTAAGAGCTTTAGTATAGAGGACTGACAGTCCCAGAGGAGATGGGCAGGTCACTGCATCAAAAGCTGAACATAACATTTTATTTTAACCTTTATATTTTTTTCATGAAACAAGTCTCAAAAAAGATGCTCTTAAGTTTGTAGATGTCCATATCACATAAATGTTATATAAGTTGATAGCAATAAGCCACAGGTAAGGCTCTCAAGAGTTGTTCTGAGTACACACACACACACACACACACACACACACACACACACACACGCAGGCACGCATGCACGTACGCGTGCACATACACACTAAACAGATGTAAATCAGCTCTTCTGGAGTTTTATTTGTCACAGTCATAATCTTTCATATCAAAGGACACATCATTTCACTTAACTGCTTAAAAATATATTAACTCC